TGCTCACTTCACTCCTGTCTCCTGCCATTCTACCATTGTTGCCCATTACCATCCCGTCTTGCTGCAGGCCAGACTGGCATCGACATAACCAACACCGACATTGACCTGCCAAACCAAGCGACGCCCTTCCCAGCAGTCCCGCCCTTCCCAGGCAACCTTCAGGCTCACCTACCGTCCCAGGCGAAGGGTGCGCTTGCTCTTTGAGTTTGGTCGATATGTGGTAGGAAGAGGAGCGGGTGGATGAACAAGGCACCTAGTTGGGGCGTTCAGACGAAGCCGTCGGAGAAAGAGCAGAACAATCTCAGGTACACAATGGACTTTGATCCAAGTTTTGCTGGGTACATCTTTCCTGTGCTCGCGTGAGGACCCTCTTGCCAAGTGCTCATCATGTGTTAGCAACGAGCACTGGAACTTTCCCAGTCCAGGTGCAACGCCGACCACGGGCAACTTCAACCACAATGTCTTGCAAACGCCCAAGACCGCTACCTTCCCATCCCACTTTCAGGATGCATTCAGCACTCCCCAGACGCACAGCTATGCCATCCCCCAGCAACCACAGTATGCCTTGATGAGCCCGATTCAAGGGCCTCCATCGTCCGCAGACACCCTTCGTTCGAACTACTATGCACACGTACAAGCGCATGGGCACCAGGCAGTGCACCCGCCGCCGCAGGTGGGACCTCAACATTCTGTGATCAGTCCTGGGCAAGCCCATGGGTTCCAGCCATCACCGATGCAGGATGGGAGCCATGGGTCCTTCGATTCAAATCAGATGCAGACGCCGCCTCCAACCAGGGGCACGTCGTTCAGGAAGTCACAGCAGCCGGTCCAGGTCGCCTTTGGGACTCCTTCGACTATTGCATCCCGACGTTTCTTGCAGACGCCCCAGCAGCCTGCGTTGCAGAGCAACCTCGCAGCTGACCAGCAGCACACGCCAGTGCAGTTTCCTCAACTACAGTTCTCCCCTGACATGTACCAACACACCAACATGGGCCCAGCATCTGCTCCAGTCATGCCACAGACGCAGCTTCTCTGGGCACAAATGCAGAGTCCACATGCTATGGTTCAGCCGAGTCCGTTGGGAGATCCGTTCGGATCAACCACAACGCAGCAGATGCAGTGGCCTGCGCCGTCTCCAGTACAACAAGAAATGGCCCAGATACCACCATTCAGCACGCCGGCCATGACCAGCTTCTCAGTGCAGCCTCCACATCCTCGACCCGCTTCTGCAGTGCCGCTCGCGCAACCACAGCAGCTGTTTTTTGCGGTACCCGCGACCTCAGCTAGCCTTGATCCCTCTTTGATCTACAGCTCGCCCGTGAGGCCGATCGTACGATCCAGTAGCAGGTCAAGTAGGAGCAAGCCTCAGTCGTTGGCTGCCGGCTCGAAGCGGAAAGACAGTGATGCAACATCGCAGCAACCAAGAGATAGCACATCCCCGACGACATCGATTACGGATATCAGTGGTCCGGGGCTGCGGAGGAGCAACACCACAGGCACTACAAAGGCGCAACCTGTGCAACAGTCTCTGCGCCCTGCCGAACCATTGAGCCGTAGCAATAGCTTTACGCAAGTCCCGCGAACAACCTCACCATTGAAGCGGGTGGGAAGGACGCCGCTTGGTCGTATTTCTGAGCGTAATTCGAAACGCGCATCGGTAATCTTGACGGTGGATGAGAACGGCATGGCTCGAACGCAGACGCTTGGTGCAGAGCCGGAGAGCCCTACCAAATCAATCAGGAACAGATACCCAGGCTTGTTCGACAGCGATACAGAGGAGGACGATTCGGACACAAGTGAAGAGCCTCGCAGCCGCAGCACATCCTCCGCGTTTGCGCGGAACGATGAACGTAAATCGAAGGCAGCAAGACTGGATCCGCCGGTCGAGAATCTGGAAGGCATTGACTTGCCTCGGTCCAGCTCTCGGGCTTCTAGCAAAGGCGTGACACCTTCGAGAGCAGCAATAGCCGCTGCTGCTCAGCTGCGGAAGCAGAGCAGCGTGAGAAGAACGAGTCGGAATGCTTCAATCAAGCGCAATCCGATGACCAGCTCAACTGCCTCTTTGAACTCTCTAATTGACTCTGCGCCAATGGATGTTGGTATGGAGCCTCAGCAGGCAAAAGCAGGCAGCATGAGATTTACACGTGCCGACTTGCATCCGCACCACGATTGGGCCACCATCACACCTGCGCCTCCTAAACGACAAGACCTGCAAAGCCAGCAGGGTTGGACCGCGATGTCTCTCGACCATCAGCCAATTACACCACAGAACCAGAGTTCATATGTCGGCGGTTTTCGGCCTGCATATACTCCAATGCAGCCGCCTCCTATGCTCGTTCGATGTATCTGTGGCGTTGAAACAGACCGTGGTCAGACGATGGTGCAATGCTCTTCTTGCACCCAATGGTTGCATATTGAGTGTGTAGGGGTGGATGCTTCTAGGCCATCACTTCTAGGATATACGTGCTTCCTCTGTACGAAGCCGACTTAATGTGGTGCTGCCACCTCCAGTAGCTTTGGGGCGGAGACAGATTTGGTCGAACCGTGCCGTGACTGTCATGCTTGTGATGCAGCGTTCTAGCGATGCAGCTTTGATCCGTTGAGCGTGCCTACGAGACAGCGTTACGGCCTTTGTTTGCCAGGGTACCGGGACAGTCCAAGCGAGACATGTTGACAGAACTTCTTTGTTACTATAATGGCATTGTATCTTTACAGGTGCAGTGAAATTGTCTATTTATTCTTCTGACAGTCTCACTCTGTACAACACTCGCTTTGAACGACAGCAAGCTCCAAGCAAGACCTTACTGCAGGCAGTTTGGTACACAGTATAAGTGGATCAGCATCGCAATACAAAGCTCACTGATCGACTCAATGTTAGGATCTCTTACCAAAAACGAGACGCAAGCTCGTCATGGGCGTAGTCATACTCGGACTAGCATTATTGTAGGTCGATACAAGCAACTCACCACGGGGGATGTAGAGGCGCTTGCGCCTGCCTTCTCTGATGCGCCTCAATACAACAGCGATGCGATGATTGACTATGAGTGCGAGACCAAGAAGCTGATCTCTACGCTTCCTTCACACCTCAAGAATGCCCATCCTTGGCTGTCAGGTGCCTGTGGCCTGCATAAGTATCTGAACACCATTCTGATTGACGACCTCTGGCGAGCAATTTTGCATGATATCAACCAGGAGACCAAAGAGATCTGGCAGCCATTGAACGAGCAAGGAAAGCTAACGCCAGCTCAGCAATACTATTTCGAGCATTTTCACGAGGGATGGTATACGCCGTACATGAAATGCTCGGGATGCTGTCTGATGATGGCAGGTCAAAATTATGATCTGCTGACCGTCATTGGAGCAATCACGCAAGCCACTTTGAGCTCGAGGCACTGGAAGAAGAGCAGGCGGCTCTACTTTTTGGAATGCTTGATGCGAGGCAGAGTCGCGCGACATCATGCAGACGGCGCTGTACGGAAGATGTTTAACCTGGGTGTTCAGTTCAGGACGCTTCGGGAGGACTTCTTGTCTGCGAATGCCAATGGGCAGGCAATCGATGAGGCGGTTGCGAAGTATCAGACTGGACGGACAGGACAGGTCGAAAATCCCAAGCCGGACTTAAAGCAGGCACCGAAGCATAAGAGCCTTGCAGCGGAAGTGTCCAACACACTCAGCACGTTCTTCGACCCTGGAAGCATGCCGGGTGCTACAACGGTCCAGCCCCCACCTGTACCACCCATGCCACCAGTTGTGAACAGGAAGCCTGTGCCGACAAGACCAGCAACCAGACCTGAGACTTTCAGAGAGCCCTCATGGCCATCGGCCGGCCAAACCCTGCTGACACCGAACGCAGAGATAACTCAACGAGTCTCACAGCACAACCTGCGAGAGGATGCCGGGCTTGGGATCGTGCAGCCTACGCCGGTAGTCTCTTCAGTCTACTCGCAAGGCACCGATGGCGACTGGGAGGACTTCGACTCGAACGACGAGGCCGCACCTTCGCCTCTCACACCAAGACCTGCTATACGCAACACCGAGATCATCGAGATGTACCAATACCCTCGTCAGGATCAAACAGCCGAGGCGAGCTCTTCAGCTCCAATGGCCAGACCATCGACTCCTCATCCCGAGGCGGGGAGGACACTGAAGCCCAGGTTCTCGCAGCTTAAGCTTGCACCGATATGGGTCCCGCGGGATCGGTATGGGGATAAGAATGATCAGGATCCGCCGAAGACGAGTGTGCTGTGGAAGCGGAGGATGAGTCAGATGCCTGTGTCGGCTTCTTCGAGAGATACGGGTGGTGAGGTTGGTGGGTCAGAGAGAACGAAGGATGCTCCTGTGCCGGGAGATGCTGGTGATGCTCTTGGTTGGGATGGTTTGTATGGCTCTGATAGGTGGATTTAGGTGAGGTGCCGTCGTTGTAGATACTGTTGAACAGAAGTGTACAGTCCTTGATACCCGGAATGTCATTCTGCCTTGTAGAAACGAAAGCTGCGGTCATCGCTGAGTTGTCCCTCTGAAGAAGCATTCTATCAAGCAGTCAATGTGCCCATGACGATGGATCGACAGTCCTGTGGTCGATATACTGTTCGACAGGCTATGTTAATTTTTTGAGCCCATCGATCCGGACATTGATCAACCCGGTCCTACTAAGAAAACTGCCGTGGTCGTCGATCAGGCGGTGCAAAGGTGCCTGACTGAGGAAACTCGTTGATCTGCTTATTGTTACCCAATGATGTTGTAGCAAAGCCTGACGTTCCAGAGAGGTTGGAAAGGACGCTAGGTTGTCGATTATGAGCCGTCGGGATGCTCAATTATCATTGATAGTCAATCAAAACTGGTAATTGGCGGTCATGAATTCGAGCGGAATAGCTCCGTTACTCAAGCCACAGTCGACTGATTCTCCATCAAAGCTTGATTGATCCAAGCAAAATAATCGAAATGGAGCAAAAGTCAAGGAATACCAATATGATACCTATCAACCAGAAGGGCAAAAGGGATTTGCGAGCAGCCTGGGACTCGAACCCAGAGCCTTTAGTGCTCTCAGCATGAAACCGAAAACTAACGCGCTACCATTGCGCTACGAGGAAATTAGCTTTATAGCTACTGGTGGCACGCAGTAGCGATAGGGCATCCTTACCCAACCGCCCAGCGATCTGAGATCATTTTGCATAAAGTGGTGGGACGGCAATTTGCGTTATATCGTTTAGTATCACCTTGATTGTCGCCGTGGGAGGTCTTCAGCACCCTGGGCACCAATGCCATCATCTTCAGCGACCCAGAAAACCCCCCTCAACGATCGCAACAACATTCAGACGCTTACAAAACAAGGGAATCGAGATGTGCCTGCAAGATGACCCCTAGAGCGTCCCGGAACGTCAACAGATGCAGAAACGCGACACAGCGCTCAAATGAGAGCTAAGACCAACAGAGAATCGATGAAAATATCGAATGCATCGATTGAACTCACTGCTGGAGCTTCTATGAGTTCCATGGTCACATATCGCCCATACTGCACGTCCAGCCGCATGCATATTCCCACGACCTGATATCGCGCTCCAAATCATATTTTACACTCATTTATCACCCGAAACTTCGTCCCTTTCGTCACTCGAGCAATTTGAACGAACATGCTCGTTCCCAACACGGTGTTCTTATGCTCCTTCCAATTCGGGACGAGGTGAAGTCGGCGTCTTCCGGCGGCCACGTGCGGCAGGTGCAGTGAGGCAGGACTAGGTGCGTGGTCCTTGCCGCAATGCATTATCGCTGAACTTCATACTTCAAAAACTCCCATCCTGTATACACAATGTTCTCCCCATACGGTCTGATTTTGCTGGCGCACTGCCACGAGGTCGTCGGACGGCACTTCACACGACACCCTTGTACCTGCCTCATCGTACAACTTCTGGCAGGCACCTTGGCCTGTACACCGACCACTCGAAGATTGAGCAGCAATAAGGACTCCGCGCATGATGGAAGCGTCAAAGCTTGATGAGATCGAGTTTCCTACCGGGTACGCCTCAACCAAGCGGACGGCCTCAGAGCGAATCGCCTCAAATCTCACCGCCTCAAATCCAGCACTTTGAAGCCCTCGAAATCAACCGCCTGACATTGGGCGACATTAGGCCTGGCTGACTTCAGGATCATCACCCTCAGTCTGTCGAAAAAGCTTTTGTCCGACGAAGCATCAGGTTTCCGATTCAGGACGTTCCCTTCGTGTTTTCCTGTCCCAAAGGCTCGATCAGTGGACCATTGCCCAACTGAAGCAAGTAATCGAGCGAGACCACGCAGCACGAGCGCATGGTATAGCAAGAGACTCATCAACTGGGCTGACCATTTCCACCACCCACAAATCTCCTCATACCGACGCCTCTGGCGTTCTTGCCCTTTGCCTTTCCCTCCTTGGCTTCCCTCGGATGCTCTTTTTCCCACCTCTCGTCTTCCTGATATGCTTCTACCGCAGCATCGAGATTCCATTCTGCTTGCTGCAAATATAGGAGCGCGACATCATATCTAATCCGCATAGGGAGACTACGTCAGCAAAATCAGCCCAGCTCACCGTCATTATGGGACACAACTTACTCAGCAACCTTACAAGCCATCATCCACCTCCTGACCTTTCCCTTCTTAATCTCCTCCTCTTCACCCTCCAGCGGCCGTGGGGACAGAGAAACACCACCCTTGTAATACTCTCCCGGTATCACCACAGTCCTCCGACCCTGGATCAGATGATCCAAGAACACGTTGTTCGCCCGCCTCAGCACGTTGATCGGGACGCCATAAGCCAACGCAAGCGAGTGCATACTATCATCTTTAGTCAAGAAATGCAATACATCTGGTGCCGGCTGTTCCGTCCTCGCCTTTTCATCCCTGGTCTCTAACACATCGTGCGCGGAGTATGCCGGCAGCTCCTCTCCATCCTTATCTACCACCGGCGGTGGTATGCCATGCTCATTCAGCGAGGAGTATGCTGGGGGGTCTTTAAGTCCTTGTGGCAAAAGAGATGGCTCGGTCGTGATTTGGCAGTATGGACAGTACGTCTCGTATCGTTTGTTCTGATTCAGGCACCGTGCGCAGATGCTGCGGCCGCAACATGGCAGGCAACGGCCTTCGAGGAGTGGTTTCTCTGATGCTGGGTCGATGGGAGAATTGTAGGTTGATGCACAGGTAGCGCAGGCGGACGCAGGAGCCATCATGGTTGAATTTCTACGGAGGTATGGAGTATTGATCAACGAGATCGTATCCAACACGAAACGGAATCTTATGCTACAACAAATAAACAGAGTCTTCGCAATAAGAATCCAGAATCTCATTCCATCTTACCATCACATGCATGACGGCACAGCGAGACATGCTTATCGATAACCACGCGCATAGCATAAGTCGCCTCGCATTGATTTGCCACCCGGGCGCGTGCGCCACGCGGAGGCCCTGTGATCGCGAGGCCGATATCGATCTCATGACGCAGAAACGCAGACCACTTGCCTTTGACCAACATTGGAACTCTTCTTTCTCAATCCCGCCGTGCTTTTCCAAAGATTGCCCTTTCCGCGACCCGACCATCATCCGCTCTTTCTTTGTCGCAACAACAACGAATCCTGCTTGAGGCTGTGCAGTGTTTGCGATCCAGTATTTACCTGATTCTCCTGATCACTCGCGACAGTACTGTAACAGAGGAGCGCGAAGACTTCCGAGAGCGCCGTTTGGCGCATCACTAGACCACCCATTCCAACAGACAATACAGCAATGGCAAACGCAACAATGCCGACATACAACCTCCCGCCACTCCCATCATACAACCTCCAGCCGCAATCACCACTCATCTCATGGTGTCCAGACGCCTACCTCGCATTGGCGCTGCCAGTGATAGCATACTGGGCGGTTTCCATGATCTTCCACCTGATAGACGAGTGGGATCTCTTCCCACAATACCGACTGCACACACCAGCGGAAGTACTGAAGCGGAACCACGTGAGCAGATGGGATGTGTTCAGGGATGTCATCATACAGCAGGTCATTCAGACGGTCGTGGGTTTGGCTTTGACGTATACTGAGGCGGAGGCGGTGACGGGGAAGGAGCAGTATGATGTGGCCGTTTGGGCGCAAAGAGTGAGGCTTGCTCAAAGAGCTATCCCGGCGGTGTTGGGATTGGCGGGCGTGGATGCTGTGGGACTGGCGAAGAACATGGGCAGTGAGCATGCCATGCTGGCTGGTGCGCTGGCCGGAGGCGTGTACCCGGAGCTCACCCAGTCTATCAACCTATCCGGACACCCAACCGCCGCTCCAGCATTCGCCCATTGGGAGCTTATGGCCGCAAAGGCGATCTACCACATTGCGATCCCGGCTCTCCAATTCGTACTCGCAATCTGCATTGTGGACACATGGCAATACTTCCTCCACCGCGCCATGCACATGAACAAATGGCTGTACACCACATTCCACTCACGCCATCACCGCCTGTACGTCCCGTACGCATATGGCGCCCTCTACAATCACCCATTCGAGGGCTTCCTCCTAGACACTCTTGGCACCGGAATTGCCTACCTCATCTCTGGCATGACGGTCCGGCAGTCAATGTGGTTCTTCACCATGAGCACAATCAAGACAGTCGATGACCACTGCGGCTACAGCTTCCCATGGGACCCGCTGCAGCATCTCACGAGCAACAATGCCGGATACCACGATATTCACCACCAGAGCTGGGGCATCAAGACCAACTTCAGCCAGCCGTTCTTCACATTCTGGGATGGATTCCTGGGTACCAAGTGGACTGGCGGTGATGTGAGTGCGAGGTACGAAAGGGCGAAGCTCGCAGCACAAAGAAAAGTGGACGCCGAGCAAGCGGCCATCACTGCTAGCCAGGCCGACGAGAGCCTGAAAAGCAGCACCAAGCCATACACTTCCGAAACCACAGACGCCTCCTCAACAGCCCGTACTGCATCATCAATAGCCGAGCCCCGCGCACCTCCCGGCAAAGCCATCGACCAAGCCCTCGGCTCCCGGCAACAAATCCTCGACGACCGACGAAACGGCGGCATTTCCGTACTCGCTGAGGAGTCCGCCGAAGAAATCAAAGAGCAGCAAAGGATACAACGGCTCACATCACCGCCATCGTCTCAAAGTCTGCGACGCAGTCCAAGGAAGCGGACGACGAGTTCAGGGCTGAAAGGTCTGGCGGATAGGGTCGGCGAGTCGTTGGCGGGGAAGAGCTCGGGGGTGCTTGGGGTGGAAAATTGTGGAGGGAGGAGGTAATAGATGTAGTATATCTGTTTTGATGATGAGGTTGCGTGCGTGGTAGGCGTTTTTGAGAGCAAGATACCTAAGCTTTTTCTAGTTTTCTGCCATTCGCTTGTAGCATATATGTGTGTATGTATTACGCCTGGGATGGAGGGCGGGTTATGTGCCCTGTGCAATGGCCTGAAGCTGTTTCTGTATCTTATGATGATGTCGAGATGAGAGCATCACCCCTGACTCTCTTCAGCTTGTGCATCTGCGGTGGACTCAAAACAGTCCTGTCGTTCTATTGACTATCATCCGTGCCGCCGGATCCACTAGGCGTCTCGGGCATTCGATTGCACACTTCTCGTTTTGTCGTTCGGCCCGATCGATAGCATCGTGACTGTTCGGGTTCGAAGCGGATACCTACTCTTCTCTCGGCCCATCAATAGACTGTTATGGCTTCGGAGTGGATTCTCTCGACCCGATCGGTACCTAATATGTAATCGGCTTCGAAATGGATATGTAGCCTGGCGTCTGTGCACGATATCTTATTGCTAACAATATATGCTATCCAAGAGACGTTCACGCGCTCTCCTAAAAACCTCACGGCACTCTCCGAAGCCTCTACTCATTTCATGAATCTAGCAATCGTCTTCTCCTGGATACAGCTATTCAGCATTATCGCCGTAGCACCGTCAGCTGTTCTGCCAACTGCGGCGGATTGTGCAAGATCAATACCGTCCTCACTAGTACTCATAAGCTGATCCTGATACTTCCGAAAGAACTGCTTGATCACTTGCTCCGTAGTATCCACAATATGACGGACGTCCGAGTCTGTGACATTGTATGCCGGCGCGAGGATGATGTGATC